AAATGTAAGTTCAATGTTAAAGATTAAAGCTGAACAGTTATATATAGAAAAATTGTTTTGAAACTCGTAGCACATTATGATTATATTTCCTAACAATGTTGGAAAGCGCACATACAATCTCCAAGCCCGCAAGATCGTCAGATGTACACTCAATTGGACCCATGAGAGCTGTTATGTAAACAAAGGCCCGTGTGTGCTTTTGAATCTCTTGCTGTTCATGGCAGTTTCCTTATTAAAACTTTACAATTGTGTTAGCTATGTTCTTTGAACTTTCAATATGAAGATACATATTTTTCATAATTTGTTAAACAATCACATAATGCCATAAACGATTTTAGTATTCGGGAGTATTTTTATCAAAGCACCGCAATCATTACGCACATTCTTATTTGTTTGTCGTATTGTACATAACAATGATCGGGCTGGGCGGGGCACGGATCAGTGGTGACAAATGGAAGGGAAGGGAGATTCACCAAAGGGACATAACTCTAGATGTTTCTGACTTAAGCGTATGTGTCATTGTGTTTCAATTCTCAATTGAACTATGAAGACTCAAAAGAATTAACTCCCCGTCATTTAGTTTGATTCCATGTATGTCAAATGTCTCTCCATCGCAGTTACTCATATTCAAGACTGAGTCGTGGACAGCCGGACGATAACAACCTCAGAGAGATGGAATGAAGAACAAAGTTTGGTGTTGAAACAAAAATGCAAATTGAGTTTAATAGCCCCCTGAACGTGATGGGTGGGTTGGTGAAGGAATATAGTTATTGCTCGATCGTCCCTCAGCATTCGCAGCCCAAATAATATGTTGAAGTTTCAGGTCCTCATTAGTATAAGCCATCAATTTAAGTCCAGAAGGTTTACTTGCTGTGTTAACAATTTTGGAAAGTTTACATCGATTTTGAACAGACAGACCCCCATACCAGCAATGGACATTGGAAACAAAAATACTTGGAATAAAAAACCTATAAAATAATGACAATATGGTTGTGTCAATCTTAAACTAACGAAGACAACGTAAAAGGTATAGCCGATTTAGTCCTTTCTTGTATATGTAATCAGTATTACTGTTCCAGGTGAGCTTAGAATCTATCACTGTGCCAAGATACCTATATTTTCAAAACTATCTATGGTTTCGTTATCAATGGCAATTGGCAACAGCTCACTTTTACTTCTCCGAAAACCAATGACCAGCTCTTTCGTTTTCTTAACATTTAATTTAAGGAATTTGATTTTACACCAATCAAAAAATTTTGTGATTTCAGAGCGATAGTCATTCTCCGTATAATTCCAGCGAGTGCGGCGTCATCAGCAAACTTTAATGTTAAACATTGTGAAAACCAACTGATACAGTCATTTGTATATAAAATAAATAAAACCGGGGAAAGAACACAACCTTGCGGGGCACCAATGGATACGAATGTTGTTGCTGATTGGGTGTTATTAACAGTTACAAACTGGAGTCTATTTACAAGAAAAGATTATATCCATTTTATAACACATGGGTTGACTGACATATTACAGAGCTTTTGCATTAAAATATGAGGCTGGGTGGTATTGAAAGCTGAAGAAAAGTCAGCCAACAGAATTCGTACATAGGAATGGGAAAGTTCTAAATGTTTGTCCATGGTACCTAGTATAGTGATCTACCTTCAGTTGTTCGTGATCTATAGCCCGATTTCATATTGTGTTGTTTTGTAATGATTCAACATTTTACTCTGAACTCAAACTAGTCTTAATCGATTTGTGATATTCTCTTTATACTGTCCTTCGCTTTTTAAATAAGTATACATATGTTTATTCTTAGTACATACATTTTAGTCGTCATAATTTGGCTAAAAATATTGCCGGGGTGACGTTAAATATTAACTCACTCACTCACTCACTGAAGAGGTATATGCGTCAGAGCAACTGGACGGAAGTCATTATCAACGGTGGGCGTGGGGATTTTAGGTACTGGGATAATATTTGAAGTTTTCCAAATGCTTGGGATAGAATGATTGTTGGCAGATATGAAAATTGTTTTAATAATGTGGCATAATTGTTCACGACATTCTTTTAAAACTTTACAACACAGATTTTCTGGACCAGTTGCTTTGTGAACATTGATTTTAGAAAATAAATTGAGGATATCAAAGGGAGTTAACTCAGTCACACGGTCATCGGATAACATATTTCCAACATTGTCTCTTTCATCACTGAAGTCAACTGTATCAAAATCGAGAGTAAAAAGTATTCAAATTGTTAGCAAACTATAGAGAGTCCGAGACGTTTATGTCAGCACGCTTCTTAATTTTCCCCAGTACACATTTAACACCATTCCCAGCCCGACGAAGACCAGAGTCCGAGAATTGTTGTTCAATTTTAGACTTGTATTGTCTTTTACATGAGTGTATTGCACGTGATATTTCCTTCTGAACAACTTTTACTTTCGTCATGTCACCAGTAGAGAACGCCTTTTTCTTTTCATTGAGCACAGGTTAATTTCTTTAGTCACCCACGGCTTATTGTTGGGATACATCATCATTATCATCATCATCATCATATAAAGATATATATAGCGCCAGTTCCAGTCCAAAAGTACTGCTCAGTAGCGCTCTTCGAACAACTCGAGAATGAAAAGTTAGATACCGTATGTTTTCTTAGAAAGGTCTTCAGTTTAGATTTGAAAATCTTCAGGTTGTTAACTCCCCTTAACTCCAGTGGAAGTTGATTCCAGAGAGTGGGTCCTGCCACCTGAAATGATCGATCCCCAAACCTGGTGCTGGACCTAAAGTGTGGGACAACAAGAAGAACAAGATTTTCAGATCGAAGACTTCGGTCGGGCTGATATCTGGTGATCGGGTCAGACAGATACTCTGGAGCTTGGTTATTGAGACACTTGAGAACAGGAATGATGAGTTTGTATTGGATTCTGTCTGATATGGGAAGCCAGTGTAATCTCTGCAGAACAGGAGTTATGTCAGAGTACTTCTGTGATCTGGAGACAAGTCTAGCAAAATCATGGCGGGGAACACCAGAAATGGGCTTCATACATTGTACTCATATGGGGATTCGAACCCGGGTCTTCAGGGTGACGAGCCAAGACTTGGCTAAACCCCAAACCCCAAACACACACACACACACACACACACACACACACCCGCGCGTTGGAATCCCATTTGTGGTGGCCCCCCGCCATGATATTGCTGGAATATTGTTATTGCTAGAATATCGCTGGAATATTGTTAACGGAGCTGCACACAAGCAATATTTTGCCTGGCAACGAGGTAATATGTCGATGCAAAGGGATTTGAACAGTATGTTCAATGATTTGGTAATTTCAGTGAGTGAGTAAGTTTAGTTTTACGCCGCTTTTAGCTATATTCCAGCAATATCACGGGACACCAGAAATGGGCTTCACACAATGTACCCATATGGGGAATCGAACGCGGATCTTCATCGTGACGAGTAAACGCTTTAACCACTAGGCTACCCCACCACCCCGCCAAGTTCAGAATGGTTACAATGAAAAATGAAAATCGTGAATTTGAGCACAGTTCAAAAGCCATATGTAAATAAAAATCTGTGATACGTTGACACTCAATAGTCTGACTAAAATATCTTAATTAAACTTCAATTTGAAATTGTCACAAAACCAATTAATATCTTAAAACGGTGTATTCATAAAGATCGCGAGTAGTATCATGAGAATCTGAAACCGGTTGTTCATACCTGGAATGCAATTCGTCCTTTTAGAAAACACATTTCATCATTGTTGGTGTGTTGCTACACGCATTTCGTGTTAGACGTCACTTATTGTGCCACAAAGAAGATGCCGTCAAAGTTGAACCCTCAAACGTTCCAAGGATGTTTCTTTCATGTTTTCTCTTAAAATGTACTGTACACTTACTGAGCCTGTCATCCAGGCATGTGGCGGATACACGCGATACTGATGTCAAACACCTCTGTAGATTTCAAGGGGCCTATACAGCTCTTCAAGAGTCGTGCCAGGACAATACTTATTTAATTAACTGCCTCTCCACAAAATCAACAGTTGGCATGTTGCAGGTACAGAGCGGGGTTGCTTTACATGTATGAAGGGGGATATTTGTTCTCTGTAATCACCTCACCGAAGAACGTACGGCAGGCGAACTCATTTGTCCGTACAGGGGTTTATACATTTGTTACTCTCCATATATAGTGGGGCATCTTTATCACCACACTGATACATCCTTGCAATACGTGGAACCTTTCCTCCGATATTAAAGTGGCCGGTTGTGGTGTAACACTAATCTGTTTAACATAACGAAACAAAAAATAAAAAACAGTGGCAATTTGTGAAATATCATCTTGTCATGAGGTTGGCATGCATAGTTTTACAGAAATACAGGATCCTTGGAGCTGGATGTCCTGACACAATTCAATGAATTATGTTACTTTGTGTTGAGATTAAACTTAAAACCATCCAATATTCACCCCTTCAGCCAGTCAGTCCGCCAGGTGAGGTTCTGGTGAGGAAGAGTTTGTACAGGGGTGGGTACTTGTTGGTGCAGATGGTGTTAGTATCTGTGACTGGATGACCCGTACAACCAGTGAAGGATTCTTGTATAAATATTTCACCTGCAGATAGTGATAAATAATCCAAAAAGCCTGATCAATCGAAACTATGGATGTTTTCACAAATAGTAAACTCAGTTAGTGAGGTATGTATACCCAGATGTTTCTAAACGCACATGGGTTTGTGACTCGTTCAAAGGTTTAACTAGACAATTATTTACATGTACTGATATCGATGACACATTGGAAACCGTTTGATTGACCAATTACACAGGTGGGAAACCGAGCACCTTGTAAATGACACGCTCACATGCCAATGTTAATCAACAGGTGCCTTTAAACAGTGGTTTGTGCATCGATCGGCGATGTGTTTTCTAAAAGAGTTGTATTCAGACACGTGCATCTCCAAGTGCTTAAATAGCAGGGGACACCGTGTTATCCACAACTACTTGCAGATCTTTCAGATCGACAATGTCTCGGACTGCCATTGCCTTCGTGCTGCTCTACATCTGTCAGGTAGGATATTCTTTTTAAACTTTGATTATTTTATTTTTGTAAGTAAGTAGATTTGAAACTAATTTTGAAAGCATTTTTATGTATCATGTAATGCATTCGGTTACTGTATTCCGTCAATTCACCCACACTTATTTGACTTTGTACCATATTCTTCATAAACTGCCAGTCACGCAAAACTGGCATGTACATACACAACTGTAGCCAGTGTAGTTATAACTGTCTAGAAGTAGCGAGTAAGTAGGAGTATATTGCTGACATTACTTCATATTACGGGTCAAGGCACGAGTCTTTCCTGGAAATATCTGGTATTCATTCCGGTATTGAGATGACAAAAGTAATGACACAGTCAAGGCTAATCAGGATTCGAACCGATTGATCACAGGATTTTAGCGCACCTTGCACCACGGGACACTCATACCCTAACATTACAGGTCCCTCTGTCGTAGAATTCAGGTACCTCTGTCGTAAATTACTTGAACATTTGTCGTAGAATTCAGGTCCCTCTGTCGTAAATTACTTGAACATCTGTCGTAGAAATCAGGTACCTCTGTCGTTAATTACTTGAACATCTGTCGTAGAATTCAGGTCCCTCTGTCGTAAATTACTTGAACATCTGTCGTAGAATTCAGGTACCTCTGTCGTAAATTACTTGAACATCTATCGTAGAATTCGGGTCCCTCTGTCGTAAATTACTTGAACATCTGTCGTAGAATTCAGGTACCTCTGTCGTAAATTACTTGAACATCTGTCGTAGAATTCGAGTCCCTCTGTCGTAAATTACTTGAACATCTGTCGTAGAATTCAGGTACCTCTGTCGTAAATTACTTGAACATCTGTCGTAGAATTCAGGTCCGTATGTCGTAGATTACTTGAACATCTGTCGTAGATAACATGAACCTCTGTCGTAGAATTCAGGTACCTCTGTCGCAGATTACATGAACCTCTGTCGTAGATTACATAAACCTCTGTCGTAGATTACATAAACCTCTGTCGTAGATTACATGAACCTCTGTCGTAGATTACATTAACCTCTGTTGTAGATTACATAAACCTCTGTCGTAGATTACATAAACCTCTGTCGTAGATTACATGAACCTCTGTCGCAGATTACATGAACCTCTGTCGTAGATTACATAAACCTCTGTCGTAGATTACATAAACCTCTGTCGTAGATTACATAAACCTCTGTCGTAGATTACATAAACCTCTGTCGTAGATTACATAAACCTCTGTCGTAGATAACATGAACCTCTGTCGCAGATTGCATGGGCCTCTGTCGTAGATTACATGAACCTCTGTCGCAGATTACATAAACCTTTGTCGTAGATTACATAAACCTTTGTCGTGGATAACATTAACCTCTGTCGTAGATTACATAAACCTCTGTCGTAGATTACATGAACCTCTGTCTTCCATACATTACACTCTCCAATAGATTGCTAATACTTTTATGTAAATTGCAGTAGTCTCTCTTGTAGATTGCAGATACCTCAGCCTGATCGTATAACACACAGTTCTGTCAGATTACAGATACATCAGTCTCATATCACACACAGTTCTGTCAGATTACAGATACATCAGTCTCATATCACACACACTTCTGTCAGATTACAGATACGTCAGTCTCATATCACACACACTCTTCTGTCAGATTACAGATACATCAGCCTCATATCACACACACTTCTGTCAGATTACAGATACATCAGTCTCATATCACACACACCTCTGTCAGATTACAGATACATCAGTCTCATATCACATACACTTCTGTCAGATTACAGATACACCAGTCTCATATCACACACACCTCTGTCAGATTACAGATACATCAGTCTCATATCACACACACTTCTGTCAGATTACAGATACCTCAGTCTCATATCACACACACCTCTGTCAGATTACAGATACATCAGCCTCATATCACACACACTTCTGTCAGATTACAGATACCTCAGTCTCATATCACACACACTTCTGTCAGATTACAGATACCTCAGCCTCATATCACACACACCTCTGTCAGATTACAGATTCATCAGCCTCATATCACACACACCTCTGTCAGATTACAGAAACCTCAGTCTCATATCACACACTCTTTCTGTTTGATTATAAATACCTCAGTCTCATATCACACACACCTCTGTCAGATTACAGATACCTCAGTCTCATATCACACACTCTTTCTGTTTGATTACAAATACATCAGTCTCATGTCACACACACTTCTGTCAGATTACAGATACCTCTGTTGTAGGTACGAGTGTTATAATACGAGTAAAATACACCTGGCTAAGATTACCGTTACCGCTAATCACTATGTATTTACGCAATTATTTATGAATAGGTCTCCACATATGTCTTCCAGCAAGGAAGTCTTAATGAAACAAACAGAAATGCACACAAACATTTGTTGCCAGATCAGACATCAAACTCGGAACAACCCGTGTTATCCCGGGGGACAGTAAAACATAGATCATCAGTCACAAATGTCCTCCTGCGGTATCTGAGACGGGATAACTCATTCATGCTGACGTAAACTCATCTGTCTGCCTGACAAAACAACTCTATTTACAGTTACAATACACCTTATGTATGACTGCGATGTAAAACAATATGCATTCACATGTTTACAACTTTCCTTCCTTATTCAGGTGCTTGTCGCTGGACAGACGAGTAAGTGTAAAATTTGCTGTCACAATAAGATGTTATTCGCAATTAGTTTATTGAAATAATTTTCTACAGGAAGTGTTAACCATAAGATTCCTGAAGGATCACAGTGTACAGGGGGTAGTTACGGAAGTGTTAGGTATATGTTTCCTGAAGGAACACAGTGTACAGGGGGAAGTTACGGAAGTGTTAGGTATACCTTTCCTGAAGGAACACAGTGTACAGGGGGTAGTTACGGAAGTGTTAGGTATAAGTTTCCTGAAGGAACACAGTGTACAGGGGGTAGTTACGGAAGTGTTAGGTATAAGTTTCGTGAAGGAGCACAGTGTACATGCGGTAGTTACGGAAGTGTTAGGTATACCTTTCCTGAAGGAACACAGTGTACAGGGGGTAGTCACGGAAGTGTTAGGTATATGTTTCCTGAAGGAACACAGTGTACAGGGGGTAGTTACGGAAGTGTTAGGTATACGTTTCCTGAAGGAACACAGTGTACAGGGGGTAGTTACGGAAGTGTTAGGTATATGTTTCCTGAAGGAACACAGTGTACAGGGGGTAGTTACGGAAGTGTTAGGTATACCTTTCCTGAAGGAACACAGTGTACAGGGGGTAGTTACGGAAGTGTTAGGTATATGTTTCCTGAAGGAACACAGTGAACATGGGGTAGTTACGGAAGTGTTAGGTATAAGTTTCGTGAAGGAGCACAATGTACATGCGGTAGTTACGGAAGTGTTAGGTATACCTTTCCTGAAGGAACACAGTGTACAGGGGGTAGTCACGGAAGTGTTAGGTATACCTTTCCTGAAGGATCACAGTGTACAGGGGGTAGTTACGGAAGTGTTAGGTATAAGTTTCCTGAAGGAACACAGTGTACAGGGGGTAGTTACGGAAGTGTTAGGTATATGTTTCCTGAAGGAACACAGTGTACAGGGGGTAGTTACGGAAGTGTTAGGTATAAGTTTCGTGAAGGCGCACAGTGTACATGCGGTAGTTACGGAAGTGTTAGGTATACCTTTCCTGAAGGAACACAGTGTACAGGGGGTAGTCACGGAAGTGTTAGGTATACCTTTCCTGAAGGAACACAGTGTACGGGGTGTAGTTACGGAAGTGTTAGGTATAAGTTTCGTGAAGGAGCACAGTGTACATGCGGTAGTTACGGAAGTGTTAGGTATACCTTTCCTGAAGGAACACAGTGTACAGGGTGTAGTCACGGAAGTGTTAGGTATACCTTTCCTGAAGGAACACAGTGTACAGGGGGTAGTTACGGAAGTGTTAGGTATAAGTTTCGTGAAGGAGCACAGTGTACATGCGGTAGTTACGGAAGTGTTAGGTATACCTTTCCTGAAGGAACACAGTGTACAGGGGGTAGTCACGGAAGTGTAAGGTATACCTTTCCTGAAGGAACACAGTGTACAGGGGGTAGTTACGGAAGTGTTAGGTATACCTTTCCTGAAGGAACACAGTGTACAGGGGGAAGTTACGGAAGTGTTAGGTATACGTTTCCTGAAGGAACACAGTGTACAGGGGGTAGTTACGGAAGTGTTAGGTATACCTTTCCTGAAGGAACACAGTGTACAGGGGGAAGTTACGGAAGTGTTAGGTATACGTTTCCTGAAGGAACACAGTGTACAGGGGTGTAGTTAAGGAAGTGTTAGGTATACCTTTCTGAAGGAACACAGTGTACAGGGGTAGTTACGGAAGTGTTAGGTATACCTTTCCTGAAGGAACACAGTGTACAGGGTGTAGTTAAGGGAAGTGTTAGGTATACCTTTCCTGAAGGAACACAGTGTACAGGGGTAGTTACGGAAGTGTTAGGTATATATTTCCTGAAGGAACACAGTGTACAGGGTGTAGTTAAGGAAGTGTTAGGTATACCTTTCCTGAAGGAACACAGTGTACAGGGGGTAGTTACGGAAGTGTTAGGTATACGTTTCCTGAAGGAACACAGTGTACAGGGTGTAGTTAAGGAAGTGTTAGGTATACCTTTCCTGAAGGAACACAGTGTACAGGGGGTAGTTACGGAAGTGTTAGGTATACGTTTCCTGAAGGAACACAGTGTACAGGGTGTAGTTAAGGAAGTGTTAGGTATACCTTTCCTGAAGGAACACAGTGTACAGGGGGTAGTTACGGAAGTGTTAGGTATATGTTTCCTGAAGGAACACAGTGTACAGGGGGTAGTTACGGAAGTGTTAGGTATAAGTTTCCTGAAGGAACACAGTGTACAGGGGGTAGTTACGGAAGTGTTAGGTATACCTTTCCTGAAGGAACACAGTGTACAGGGGGTAGTTACGGAAGTGTTAGGTATATGTTTCCTGAAGGAACACAGTGTACATGGGGTAGTTAAGGAAGTGTTAGGTATACCTTTCCTGAAGGAACACAGTGTACAGGGGGTAGTTACGGAAGTGTTAGGTATACCTTTCCTGAAGGAACACAGTGTACAGGGGTAGTTACGGAAGTGTTAGGTATACCTTTCCTGAAGGAACACAGTGTACATGCGGTAGTTACGGAAGTGTTAGGTATACCTTTCCTGAAGGAACTCAGTGTACAGGGGGTAGTTACGGAAGTGTTAGGTATAAGTTTCCTGAAGGAACACAGTGTACAGGGGGTAGTTACGGAAGTGTTAGGTATACCTTTCCTGAAGGAACACAGTGTACAGGGTGTAGTTACGGAAGTGTTAGGTATACCTTTCCTGAAGGAACACAGTGTACATGCGGTAGTTACGGAAGTGTTAGGTATACCTTTCCTGAAGGAACTCAGTGTACAGGGGGTAGTTACGGAAGTGTTAGGTATAAGTTTCCTGAAGGAACACAGTGTACAGGGGGTAGTTACGGAAGTGTTAGGTATATGTTTCCTTAAGGAACACAGTGTACAGGGGGTAGTTACGGAAGTGTTAGGTATATGTTTCCTGAAGGAACACAGTGTACAGGGGGTAGTTACGGAAGTGTTAGGTATATGTTTCCTGAAGGAACACAGTGTACGGGGGGTAGTTACGGAAGTGTTAGGTATATGTTTCCTGAAGGAACACAGTGTACATGGGGTAGTTAAGGAAGTGTTAGGTATACCTTTCCTGAAGGAACACAGTGTACAGGGTGTAGTTACGGAAGTGTTAGGTATACCTTTCCTGAAGGAACACAGTGTACAGGGGGTAGTTACGGAAGTGTTAGGTATATGTTTCCTTAAGGAACACAGTGTACAGGGTGTAGTTAAGGAAGTGTTAGGTATATGTTTCCTGAAGGAACACAGTGTACGGGGGGTAGTTACGGAAGTGTTAGGTATATGTTTCCTGAAGGAACACAGTGTACATGGGGTAGTTAAGGAAGTGTTAGGTATACCTTTCCTGAAGGAACACAGTGTACAGGGGGTAGTTACGGAAGTGTTAGGTATACCTTTCCTGAAGGAACACAGTGTACATGCGGTAGTTACGGAAGTGTTAGGTATACCTTTCCTGAAGGAACACAGTGTACAGGGGGTAGTTACGGAAGTGTTAGGTATATGTTTCCTTAAGGAACACAGTGTACAGGGTGTAGTTAAGGAAGTGTTAGGTATATGTTTCCTGAAGGAACACAGTGTACAGGGGGTAGTTACGGAAGTGTTAGGTATACCTTTCCTGAAGGAACACAGTGTACAGGGGGTAGTTACGGAAGTGTTAGGTATAAGTTTCCTGAAGGAACACAGTGTACAGGGGGTAGTTACGGAAGTGTTAGGTATATGTTTCCTTAAGGAACACAGTGTACAGGGGGTAGTTACGGAAGTGTTAGGTATATGTTTCCTGAAGGAACACAGTGTACAGGGGGTAGTTACGGAAGTGTTAGGTATATGTTTCCTGAAGGAACACAGTGTACAGGGGGTAGTTACGGAAGTGTTAGGTATATGTTTCCTGAAGGAACACAGTGTACAGGGGGTAGTTACGGAAATGTTAGGTATATGTTTCCTGAAGGAACACAGTGTACAGGGGGTAGTTACGGAAGTGTTAGGTATACCTTTCCTGAAGGAACACAGTGTACAGGGGGTAGTTACGGATGAGGGGTTTAGAGGATGGGCTGTTCTTTCGTGATTGGGGCGGAAAAAAACCAAATTCTTGAAATTTGGAAACATTTTTAAATGCTACTCGTTTCAAGTTTGAAATAATCATGATTGTTATATACTACCTACAGAATTCGTTTAATGTTCCTATTTCTGTGATTTTCACAAGTATTTTCATACTATGAAAAAGTTATCTTATATGAGAGACAAATGAATAAATATTGAAATTCTTTTCACAATATTTGGCATTTAAGTTCTTTTAATGTATTTATGTTCGACTATCTCCATGATCCATGGCTATGACTGGAACTGTAAGTGTAGTTAAAAACAGTCAAATCTAACCTTCATAAGGCGAAAACAATAGACTATATGTTCACATTGACGGATCCGTGTGTCCTCTTGCCGATCTTGCAACGCTTGCTATTTCAGAAACCTGTGACTCCTGTAAAATAGCTTTCATAGCTGAGAGGACCAGTACTGTGTCGGTGGGAGATAGGTGCAGGTGAGCAGACACCGGTGGGCAGGGGCTTGTTGTGGCCTGCCGGGTGGGTCAATGTGTGATCCTGAAGAGTGAGAAACCGTTATACCAATGTTTCGGTTAGACGGACACGTGGACTATTGAGTACTGTCCGCTCACGGTCCGAAGAAGCAAACTGCCGAACGTTTGTGTTAGGACTCATTTAACAACCGCACGTTCGTCTTTGGACCCTTTACTGGCCGGTGGGGTGACCTAGTGGTTAAAGTGTAAGTTCGTCACGCCGAAGACCCGGGTTCGATTCCCCACATGGGTACAAACTGTGAAGCCCATTTCTGGTGTCCCCCGTTTTGATTTTGCTGGAATATTGCTAAAAGCGGCATAAAGATAAACTCACTCACTCACTTTACTGGCGCACGTTTGCTTCAGGACTCACTTAAGAGACGCCCGAAGCGTCTTTCGATATGCATAGCTGTTTTCCTTCGACATGCAAGAAAACCTTTGATCGTCGGTTCGGATCCCGATAGGTTTGTCTGCACCTGGCATCAGCAGAATTTGCTAGCGATGTATAAACATAGTCTTTAGATTAAAGCGGTACCGTACAGCTGACTCCAAAGTTTATGGAATGGTTTTACAGCTTGTGTACCATCAGTTGTACCTCGGACTGCCAATTGGTCAAAGGTAACGTTTGACCCAATAATCAACCCCGACCATAACGAGATAAAATAAAAGCAACAACAGTCATTCCAAAACACTCAGTAAAATCTCCAAAGAGCAGAGTCCAGTGGCCGATTCGGACTGTATAAATCGTTCTCAAACTTTAATATCGCGTCTGTTTATCCCAATCTGCTGTCATTAGCTGTGTGAAAAACTCCTTGAAGAACTAAAATCTTCTTTTGTGGTGTTTGAATGTTCTTCACAGGACACTTAAAAACTACGTGTCCTGTCTAACCTACACGACGAAACAGGCCACCGGATGTCCCCTCAGCAACACCGACATCAACAACATCTACGACTATCGGAATGCTATGCCGTACCAATCGTGTTGTAAGTCTTGATGCATGTATACTGTCTGCCGCTCTTCTATTTCCAGGGGAATTCGACACATTGTGTTACTTCTAATTTCTACAATATGTACATTGTGAAGCTGCAGTAAATGGTCCACTTACCAAATGTATCATTAAACCATGCCAAACGATTAGGAGTAGTGGGAGTCGTCAAGTCATATCTTGTCAACGGGTACCGGCAAAGGGAAATTAAGTGATCACTTCTCTTTGAGGAGCAGGCAATCAGAACTTATTGAGTTCTAAAGGTTTGGTGAGAAGAGATGATGGAGCACTTGGTCGTTGATGTTACGTCCCTCTGTAGGTCAGACATGCTAGATATGCACGAATTCTTCGAGGCACGACTCTCAAGAGTCGACCATCTTGACTCATGTTGTTCCACTGCTCAGTAAGAGCAGCCCCGAGTTCACTGAGAGTGGCTGGATTTTGATTCGTCTGCCCATGACTTCCCACAAGTAGGGGAAAGGCCATATATATGTGCTAGGCCAGTCAGTGTTACCACCACAAGCTATTATGGAACTAGTAGCCCCAAACGACCATTCTGTAGGACGTCCATTTCAAAACTCAGTTCTTTCAATCGATGCAGACGATTTTACAACTGATATCTACTCTGACCCCCTATCTGAGTCTGAGTTTGCCACCGGTCTGTTCTGGTGTCACTAACCTTGGCTGGCCGGAGCAGAATCGGTCATTGACGATGTGTTTGTTGGCATCAGGCCAACGGTCTGCTGACGGCAAACTGGAAAATGTGCAATCTCTGGGCGACAATATTTTTACCTTGATAACGATTTAACATCTACACCGAAACGCCGCATCTATTGCCATAAAGAATTTATCGATCCTTAAAAAGTGTTCCTCTTCATCATTCCAGCGTCTATATGCCACCTAAAGAAGTAAAACTTTGTCCTGTGTCCACGTGGCACGAAGCGGTTCAACGTGTTCCAAACCTGATCATAACTGTTTCTTCCTAAATGGTGCAATGTGTGTAATTAACCGTTTATGCCACTCTTAAGTAAAGCGGTAAGACTGGCTGGCTCCGGGCCAATATTCTGTGTGGGATTATTGTACCCTTGTGACAGTATACACATACCTTCGACATCATTGAATTAATCTATACCAGGAAGTGACATTTAACCCCATTTCCACTCATCATGTTTGATAATGTCGAGATATCACTGCAACATGTGACGTATAACCGAAATGCATTTATCTACAACATTCACAGAGTCATTTCTTAAACGTAATAACAGACCTGAAGGTTGCCAGTAAGAGAGTGTATTACAAGGTTTCTGGAAACGAGAGTCAAACATTGCACGTGCACATATGATTGATCTTACAATCTCGTTCCAGTTGCAAGCGACACCTGTCAGTGCCAGATCAACAGATGGACGGACACCAGCTCGTATGACCAGAAGTAAGTACAGCTGTACTTCAGGAGATTCAGTTATCAAGAAAATCGTTGCATCTCTCACTTGTAATGAAAGTCGTTTCCTTATGATAATATTTGTCTCTCATACAGTCACAAACATTGGTTTTAGGCTATTTGACCTTTCTGATATCAGGAACATTGGTGATTAGGCCGTTGTTGCTTTATGGTATCAGGAACATTGGTAGATTGGGTCGTTGTTGCTTTATGATGTCAAGAACATTGGTAGATTAGGATTTTGTTCCTTTATGATGTCAAGAACATTGGTAGATTAGGATGTTGTTCCTTTATGATGTCAAGAACATTGGTAAATTAGGATGTTGTTGCTCTATGATGTCAAGAACATTTGTAGACTGGGATAATGTTGATCAGTTGGTGTATGTTGAATCTGAACCCTCTGCAATCATACTTGCCATATGCTGCATGTTACAATACATTATAAGTCATTAGTAATATTGTTGATACAGAGTGTATAACGCATGTTGTCATCACTGGTAAGTTAACAGGAAGTACAAGAAGTACATGAAGTACCTAGGTTGTCTGTACGACTCTGTATGTTGACAGGAACTACATCAAGTACCTAGGTTGTCTGTATGACTCTGTATGTTGACAGGAAGTACTTCTAGTACCTATGTAGTCTGTACGACTCTGTATGTTGACAAGAAGTACTTCAAGTACCTAGGTTGTCTGTACGACTCTGTATGTTGACAGGAAGTACTTCAAGTACCTAGGTTGTCTGTATGACTCTGTATGTTGACAGGAAGTACTTCAAGTACCTAGGTTGTCTGTATGACTCTGTATGTTGACAGGAACTACATCAAGTACCTAGGTTGTCTGTATGACTCTGTATGTTGACAGGAAGTACTTCTAGTACCTATGTAGTCTGTACGACTCTGTATGTTGACAAGAAGTACTTCAAGTACCTAGGTTGTCTGTACGACTCTGTATGTTGACAGGAAGTACTTCAAGTACCTAGGTTGTCTGTACGACTCTGTATGTTGACAGGAAGTACTTCAAGTACCTAGGTTGTCTGTACGACTCTGTATGTTGACAGGAAGTACTTCAAGTACCTAGTTTGTCTGTACGACTGTATGTTGACAGGAAGAACTTCAAGTACCTAGGTTGTCTGTACGACTCTGTATGTTGACAGGAAGTACTTCAAGTACCTAGGTTGTCTGTACGACTCTGTATGTTGACAGGAAGTACTTCAAGTACCTAGGTTGTCTGTACGACTCTGTATGTTGACAGGAAGTACTTCAAGTACCTAGGTTGTCTGTATGACTCTGTATGTTGACAGGAAGTACTTCAAGTACCTAGGTTGTCTGCATGATTCTGTATGTTGACAGGAAGTACTTCAAGTACCTAGGTTGTCTGTACGACTCTGTATGTTGACAGGAAGTACATGAAGTACCTAGGTTGTCTGTATGACTCTGTATGTTGACAGGAAGTACATGAAGTACCTTGGTTGTCTGTACGACTCTGTATGTTGACAGGAAGTACTTCAAGTACCTAGGTTGTCTGTACGACTCTGTATGTTGACAGGAAGTACTTCAAGTACCTAGGTTGTCTGTACGACTCTGTATGTTGACAGGAAGTACTTCAAGTACCTAGGTTGTCTGTATGACTCTGTATGTTGACAGGAAGTACTTCAAGTACCTAGGTTGTCTGTACGACTCTGTATGTTGACAGGAAGTACTTCAAGTACCTAGGTTGT